CATAGACTTTATGATGAATGACATGACAGGTCTCCAAAAGCATGCCGAAACATCTTGATCACCCCCTGGTGGCTGGCTGCAGAGTATAGGTCAGAAACAACCTCTAGTTAGCAGATGGGACATTGGAAATTTGGGCAGTCGTTTACAGCAGGATGCATGAGAGTTAGGTTACACTGACAAGGTCTCCTGCAGATGTGTCCGCAGACATATTCTGTTTATCTGCCCTGTGAGCGCAGGCAAAGGTTATCTGAAAACGCCAGATAACTGGCCCGATTAATCGGCCAACCAATTCTATCACAACTCCTTAAGCATCTAAACACGTGTAACAAAGACACACTACTATCACACTACTGTACACCGCTCAACTACACAGCACCAGATTCCAACAAAATTATGCTGACAATGTAAACTCCACTTAATGAAAAGAAATGAGCACATAATAAAAATTGTGTTTATTTTAAGTATCCCAGACCAAACAGAAAATTATCCTACAAACATCCAATCACCAAACTGCAACACACTGCTTACAATACACAAAGTATGTGTCTTGCCTTCAGACAAGTCATCAAAGCGCATCCACGTCCAGGTCAGCATAGACAGCAGAAGGCAGGATATGAGCCATGATATTTCCTCTGGATGTCTCCTATAACAGAATCAGATTATAAAACTATTATGTTCTGATGCAAGCAATGTACAAGCAAAGCAGTGTATTAAACCTGGTCATGGTGAGTACATGAGCAATTCTCTTAGTACAATTTGATTGTTCTGGAGGGGGCAATGCAACAGCTCTGTAGTAAGACTGCATAGTTATCCTCCAAAACCAGTGTCTCGCAGATTTATCAGCCTTATTTTGAAATGCTGCAATGAATAGCCGCTTCCTGGACTTGCTCAGTAATGGTTTAGGGTGTGAAACAATATTGAAATTCTGCTAATGATCATTAGGCTGAAACTGCTGAGTTGCTCTAGCCTACTGCTTCCTCCACACTGTCTGCAGCAAACTGCTGCTGCCATGTGAAGCACTACATTAACATCACAGACATTTGGTGTTAAAAAGGCTGTTTATTGGACATACACTAAAGATACAAACCCACCAGAGTGCACATGAACCTCTCAGCAACAGTTCCAGAGATTACAGGTCGATTTCATGAGCATGTGTACCACAGAGTGCAGATTAATCCGTTTTTTTCCCGACTCTGATTAGCTGACCGTTGCCTCGTTGGTGTAATTGGTTAAAGTGGGGTTATGGTTAGGGTTAGCCAATCAGAGGCGGAGTAGGGGGCAGGACTTGACGCATAGACCTGCAGAGAGACCTACTTGTAAATCCCATGCTGTGGTGGTAAATATGATGGTATATGCGAAATCCTATTGAACTTCAAAGCATTTAAAATCCAAGATAGTGAAATAATGTCTGGCTGGCTAACTACAGTGATGCTCAGCATTGTGCTCACTGCTGCCTCCAGGGGCTGGAAACTGCACTGCAACAATACTGAGGAAGCCGCATTTCTTTCCCCCTCTTTCACTAGCTTCTGTAACCCACAATAACTGTTTATGAGTCTTTCTGATAACCTGATTATTTTTTCTTTTTATGTCAGTTTTGTCTGCTAAATTGGTATCTACCACTGTTCCTGACGATATGTCTGCAAATCTGGGCATTCATTTTAAATAAAGATACATTTAATTTGTTAAATCCCATGAGGTTTGGACAGCATGCCAAAACCTCTTCTTCACTTTGCACTGAGCAGAAATAATCAGACAGAATATCTCCAAGAACGTTTTGACTCTGTCTCCTTTTGCCATTATAACAGCAGCTCTGCAGTGCAGTTATCCGTGGCCTGCATTTTTGAGGTAAACTATTACAGATGTGCTCAGTGCAAGGAAATCTCAAAGTCCACCTCCCTGCTGCCGCCCCCTTCTTTGATTGGCTGGTGGAAATGGCAGAAATTAGGGGAGGAAGAATTCTCCTCCAGCTGAAATTTTATGTCATGATTTTCCTTTTTTGCCATCCTTCTCTGCTTTCTTTACAGACACCGGTAAGATGGCCTCGGCACATGACAGAGCTGTACTTCAGGCTATATTCAACCCCACCACCCCCTTTGGAGACATCCCTGGCCTGAACCAAGAGGAGGAATTAACTGATGATGGTGAGCGTGAGCTTCTGACTTGATGTGTCTGTATATCATGTCACAGCTTTTTATGTTTATCATTTCACAGCATATTGAATTTATTTGAACAAATTCCATTCCTTGTCTAAAAAAAACATGACATTTTAATCCAAGTTGAGTTCTTGGTGACATTTCTCTGTTTTCCTTGCCACGGTAACTGTCAATTGAGTTTGAGTGCTTTTTCAACCTGTTTATCTCCCCTTGCCAGACAGTGGCTTTGACACAGAGTTGCTGAAGCAAGTGAAAGAGTTGGAGATGCAGGGTGTCTCTGCAGCAGAGGCTGGGGATTTGCAAGCTGCACTTCAACTGTTCAGCCAGGCAATTCAGATCCTGCCTCAGCGAGCTTCAGCCTATAACAACCGGGCACAGGCCCTGCGGCTGCAGGGGAACACAGCAGGTACATGCCACAAATTCAATAATAACCCTTTCCATAGACACTGCAGTGTGCCGACATATCAGACTGTCGAGTCTGAGGCCAGCGTGACACCATATCAGAGCTTTGTCTATCTGATGCACTTTGTCAGCAGTGTTACAATACAGGCTCTGAGTCAGCCTTGTGTTGGGTACTTTTACCTGCTGTTTGGCATGAGTGTGGTGGCAGGGTTGTATACACTGAATGTAAAAAAATTACAGGGATTCTTTGTATTGCAATCATATCTGAATCATCTAAAGGTTTAAGAATTTGTTGTGTGCTTCAGTGAAATGATCAAGTGTCTCCTGTATATGATAGATTCACTGTATTATAAAGAACAACATTGTAATTACAAAAACAACAGATGTACAGCAACAGATTATATTTAAAACATAATTTGTATTTCTTAGATTATTTAACCTGTGTGGCACATGTGAGTATTGCTATGGTGTTTTTACACTCACTCCCTAGATATCACTTTGTCAGTCATGCCATGTACTCAGTGCTGTAACATCTTTTTACTTGCATTGACTGTTTCTAAAATCAGAGTGTCTATCTATTGGTGGTACTTTTCAATTTGTCTGTAACCTGGTGACCGTTGTTGTTTATGCTGACTCACAAGATTGTCTGAATATTCCCAACAAATCATCTACATCATCTATTTAAAATAATTCACTGAACAAAATTATAAACGCAACACTTTTGTTTTTGCCTACATTCATCATGAGCTGAACTCAAAGATGTAAGACTATCTCTATGTACACAAAGGGCCTATTTCTCTCAAATATTGTTCACAAATCTGTCAAAATCTGTTTTAGTGAGCACTTCTCCTTTGCCGAGATAATCCATCCACCTCACAGGTGTGGCATATCAAGATGCTGATCAGACAGCATGGGTATTGCAAAGGTGTGCCTTAGGCTGGCCACAATAAAAGGCCACTCAAAAATGTGCCTTTGCGTACATAGAGAATGTCTTAGATCTTTGAGTTCAGCTCATGATGAATGAGGGCAAAACAAAAGTGTTGCGTTTATAATTTTGTTCAATGTATGAGGAAAATGTGAAATTACATGAGCATAATGTGAATCACTGCTGTGAGTGACAAAATACTGTAGGTCTGTATTCATCTGAAAACATCAATGTCATTACTAGTATGTCTAAGACTAAGACTGGTGAACTTTTGGATAAATGAAAAATATCAGATTGTTAGGTTATAGTCAGTTTTTAGACCATGGTAATATTAGAAATACAGTAAATACATTTTTATTTGACTTTAGTACTTAGTGGTAAAATAATTCGAAGCAAATTCAGCTACATTACTCAGAGCGAATACTAGACTGACGTTAAGCCCAGAGTGAGTAGCCTGAAAAACATTACAAATTGAAAATCAACTTTCCAGACACGTGTGTGCCTCACAGTGCTCTTCTATCCTCTCAGGAGCGCTGGAAGACCTGGACCGGGCCATCTCTCTGAGCGGTGATGCTGGGCGAACTGCCTGCCAGGCACTCGTGCAAAGGGGCCTTTTACATAGATTAGCATGCCAGGATGATGAAGCCAGAGCAGATTTTGAGAAAGCAGCTGCACTTGGAAGTGAATTTGCTCGACAACAGGCTGTGGTTCTTAATCCGTATGCAGCTCTGTGCAACAAAATGCTGTCAGAGGTGATCAACAAGCTACGCAATCCTGAAGTGTCTGAGATGCAGTAGATAATGTAGACAATTTCAGACATTTAAACCTTTTCTGTTATGAAGTCTGTGGTTAATAAAAGAAAGTTTTAGGCTTTTAATGTCCTTTTAATTCCACTGACTATGCTAAAATAAATAATAAAAAAAAAAACTTAAAAAAATTAAGCCAACTGCAAGTTAGATTTATTATGGAGTATGTCACACATATATTACAGTCCACTCATTTTCCTTGAGAAAGACTAAATCAGAAACAAAGTTGTCAGTGTTCTCATCATAAAGCATGCACAGCTGTTTTTAATTCAGTATCATATATACAACATTTGATATTGTATTCAGCAAATACCAGACTTGCTTTATGGTTCCACACAGATGAGGTACTTCAGCTTTTCTCCAGTAGATGTCAGTCTTGTCGTGTTGAGCAGCCAACAACAGCTACCTCTGCGGACCTCATATCTTTGAAATAATGCTTGTCACCCCAACAATGAAATAAGATGGAACAAACAACACTAGTCAGCTCAATATGCCAAACAAAGGCAAATTATATGATATTACAGAACATGAGGGCTCCTCTAAAACACCATATAAACACATTTGTGAATTTAGTTTCGTCAGAGGGGGAATTTACGTTTCATCATCTCTCAATAAACTCTTATAAACACTGCATAAATAGATTCATCTTAAGGCATTTGCTCACTTACAGGCAGAATGATTTGAGGAGATGTTACAAGAAAATGGAGGCTGAGTAAATCACATCAAAATCTTAAGAAATTGCAGTTTATGCTAAAGTGAATTCTCCACATATACTGTACAATATTTGTCCGCGGGGCTTCAGCACACAGTTTCGCTTCAGTTTCTGTACAGTAGGTATTTATGTGGAGGGTTTATCGAATTTACAGTTTTTTGGGTGCTTACAGAGAGAGTCTAAACATGGCATCACTCAGGTTGTGGTCCGCCCACTGAGCTATGGGACCATGTGCATTATGTTTAATGCTTTACTACTGCATACTTGTCTCTGACCTCTCCCAGGCAGACTAAAGCCACCGGCTCCGTCTTCTCATCTCTCTGGTAGAAGGAACAGGTTTTCAGGTGATCTGACATGGAAGGAGTATTGCTGAATCTCCATCTGTCCACAGACGAAAACAGAGAGCTGAACTCCCAAACCTGTAAACACAGAGACAGAGCAGAAGTAGGTGTAGGAGGCTGCTGTCATGGTATCTAACAACTCAAATGCACCCATGGCCATGAGGAAACATTTATTTTTACTATGTACGGAATCTAGATCACATAGTATTTTTATCACGTCATGGTATGATGTTATTTCTGTATCCATCCATTACAAATTTATTCAAATGATGCCCAAATACCCAGCTGTCACCCACACAGTGTTATCAACACTTTGTTTCCATGAATGACCACATATATGACTTGTTATGGAAGCTCAGTATTTACTGGCAGCAAGGCCTCAGGCCATTCCACATGCCTGATATCATCAGCACACTGTTTGTCCCATGATCACTGCAGTGCTGTGATGTAAAAATACATACTTATGTATTTATACTTTATTTATCCTTCATCAACTTAGACAGAGAGGCTATGTGTTATGTATATTATTTTTTTAAAGAATTGGTGGAAGGTTAGCCAAACAACAAAATAAAAACTGATTACTTTAGCATAAACTTATAGAAATCTATACCCCATATTTAGGTTTTGGTTCTTATCTGTGGAACTGTGAATCATAAAAAATGTCTTTCAAGAATTCCTTGTTCCACAATAAAGACTGTCCATCTTTTTCAACAATACTCCAGTATTCATCAAATTTAGTACATCAAATATTTGAATGAGCTGTCAAAAGAATTTAAGCTTCCTGTACTGTTTTCCTATGCCTGTCTGGTTGCCAAATTCTTCTAGATCTGATCATTTGACATAAACTGCCATAACTAATAGATGACATGTGCACTCATCTACCGCAAGAAATCCTACACACATTGATGCCATTTACTGCATAGATGGCGCTACAGCAACATGATGAATAGATAGCTCAATGGACATGAGTCTGAATCACTTAAAATTTCATCCTGATCTACACTGGTCATACTTGCAGACAGGATTTAGGTAATCTCCAAAAATCAAGGCAGCTGGCTATGTCGTCAAGGCTCAGACCACTAGACGACTAGGTGTCCCTGTGACCTAGTGGTCTAAGCCATGGGGTCTAAGGTCTAGCTTATTGGTGTAATGTAAACACAGCATCCCTGGTTTGAATCCAGTGGTTGCATGTGACTCCTGTTTTTCGTGAATCTCTCTAATGTTTGCAATCAAATAAAAGACGGAAAACTCTAGGCAGCTACTACGACATTATTGTCTATAACAACTGTGTATTTTATTTCAGGTCTGGATCCAGATTTTTTTTAAATGATAATTGTGCGGCCTTGGCAGGAGTTTTCATTCTCTAAGTGCTTCCTATAGAACTGCATATGATTTGTTTTTCAAACTTTATGCTGTAGATTAGAATCAGCACGTTGCAACACTACATTTAGCTCAACTGTCTAGCTGCCGGCCACTGCTTGGACACGAAAGTCAGAAAAGAAAACAAAATTTTCTTTCCTCAGTGTGCCTGACCCCACATGTGCTTATTTTTGATAAGGACCCAGAACAAAGTAGAAAATCTCCAGTGGCTGCTCCAGTGTGGCTGTGATTCAGTTTGAAATATTGTTAGAGAGAGTCTGGAGATTTTTTGCAGTGCAGCAGCTGTCATGTTGCATGAATAAATTTTCCAATGACAGTTGGAAAGAATGGTGCCAGATACTAAATGGGCACTGATATAAAATTTGGCCCTGTGTACCTTCACTGTGTACAAGGTTGAGATCATAAGAATATTTGAGATGGAATGGTAGCTCTCAATCAGTAAAATAAATAAATATAATAATATTTGAAAATCCTCTGCAGTTCAGTTAACAGAAAGAGAGTTATGACAAATTATTTGAGCAGTTAGTCTAAAATAATACATTTGATTTTATGAAAATCAATCTTTTGAATTTTATAAAAATCAAACATCTAAAACACATGTAAGGATACTTGCTTTCTTTCGACATTTCCAGGAGCTTCCCCCGTGGGAATATGTCTTTTTGACCCACTTGAGGGACACCATCCCTCTCTCCTGCAACAATGTAGCACACACATCTCTCATCAGATGGGAGACCTGGGACAGCTGAGATAATGTAAAACTGTCAAGGTAAGCAGCAATGTGCTGAAGGATCTCCAGGGGCAGGCTGCTCAGGGGATCCAGATTATGTGCACCATTTCTGTGAGGGCTGAAGGTTTTCTCGCCTTCACAGAGGGAAGAGACTTCTGGCTGGAGGACAACGGCGCTGACATCTTGGCAGAATTTAATAGTAGCTTGGTGACCTGCAGGCTGAAACCTCGTCTGGCTGAAAGTGCAGCCGAGGTAAGCTAAGGGGCAGCGTTGTTGGAACCAGCCGCTCAGAGAGGCCTGTATGTCAGAGTGTACATTCCTGAAATGAGAGCGGTATTCATCACGCCGAAATAAGTGGCCGCACATGTAGCTAAAGGCTGAACTTGATTTGTTATGTCTTCTGGTGACAGATTCTGCTTCGACATGTACATAAAGCCCATCAGGTTTGTCTGCCATGACGTCAGCAAGCGATGCATCTGTTTTGAACGGAGCAGAGGCAAAGTCGTATGTTTGCGTTCCAATATCTACATAAAGACCATCTGTCGACCCGCTCTCTGAGATTAAATGTCCTTTTAGTTCCTTTTCCAGGGAGCACAGGAGTGTGGCTCTAACCTCATCACCCTTCGGAAGATCCTCAACTGACATGCCCAAATCTGCAGTGTCAACACTCTGGTGTGTGGTCTTTGCTTTGTGTGCGGGGTCCTTCAGGTGACTGCGCCTAGCTCGATAGCTGGTAGGAACATTAAACGAGCGGATAGTTTTAACCTCTATGGGCTCCAGATTGCCATAAACAAAATCCTTTTCTCTTGGGGTGCAAGCAGGAAGTTGGCCAAAGTTAATCAACATCGCCCCATTGTGCACCAGATACATGTTATATTCAGCAATGTTGAATTCCTTGCCTAACCTCTCAAGGACCCCGTCTTGCCATGGGGCAAAGCCAGTTGCACCATCCATGCTTGGAGCAGCAGCAGCAGCAGCAGCAGCAGCAGAATTGTCTCGGCTCAAGTGTGTTTCCCGCTGACAGTTTGATGATTCTTGCTCTTCCTTTTCCTTTCCTTTTTTCTCCTTATTCAGGTTTTTGACAGTTTGCTTGCATCCCTCCATCTCCTTCTTGAATATTTTCTCCCAGGACCTATAGTTTTGAATACTGTCCCCGTCCCTGCTCTTTGCCAAAGCATCCCTCTCCTCTTGACTTGCTTCTTTCTCCTTCATCCTTGTGCAGCCATTTTCTGTCAGTTCACCACAATCTAAAGAACAGGTTGCCTCCTCTGCAGGACTGCTGACACCTGTAGACATATCCTGGAGGGCAGGATCCTCCACCATCAACTCAGGGTAAATGTTCTTCATTTTGATGGATTGAAACAGAAGCTCTTGGTCCCTGAGTGCCAAAGCAACATCAAGGTTTATTTTAGTTTGAGGGTTTTCTGAAATATTTTTGTAGAAGATCAGATCATTTTCTGAAATAGGCCAGCGGTTCCACTCCTGAGAGCAGCAGACCACGCTGGCAGGACAGACTTCCAGGTGTTTGGCCAGCCTATGGCGCGGCATGATAAGAGGACAGCCATAGTTGACATTGAGACAAGGAGTCGTCTCATTTGGGCAAAGAAGCTGGTGCTCCTCTTGCTTGCAGACATGGAGGATGGCGCCACAGTTTTTATGACACTTTATGATCATGCATGAGACAGAAATCTGCACTGGGACTTGACAGTGGACATTGTAACACTTGTCACAATGCTGATGGTGGCCCACAGGCATTTCTTCTGCTTTTTACCTTAAGAGAGAAATAACACAACAGCAAAGGTAGTTGTTAAGGTATGTTTGCAACATTTCTTGGTCCATATCCATACTGTAGCAAATGAAAAACACATTTTAAGTAATTTGAGAATCATATTTTATTATAAATCTTAAATGCAGTGAAAATAAGTGCACTTGTCATTGTGGTTTATGAACACAACGATCATCTGAGAAGAGTTTCAAGCCAGAAACACTGTTACAAGGTAAACTGTTTGAAGTTTGCATATTTATGCTGCACATAGAAAGTACTTCCAAGAAAGATATTGTTAATGTGCAACTCTGACTCATTTTGAATAGAAAAGTAAAGTAGATGGTAAGTTGTGTTCTGACATAAAGACTTAAAAATGCATAATTAATATGGGCTAATTGAATTATAAATACATTTTTTTAATATGGAGTACCTTAAGAAAATACATACATAAAACACAAAGAAATCCAAGTATTAGTAAATAAAAAGTGAACAACTGGAACAATAACAATGAAATTTCTTACCCTTTGTTCCTCTGTGCCTGTCACCTTGTGTTTGCTGGCACCTCTGAATAACCTCTGCACTGTGTCTGGACATTATAAATAGACAGAAACAGAGGGGCAGACAGGCCAGTTGGACAGGGCAGCATTGTCACACAGCCTTTAAGAGGCAAGGTCAGGTTACAGCCTCCACCTCTGCTTTACTGTGAGAGGGTTGTGACAGCAGGTAATCCAAGTTCTCAACAGTTTAACTACCGTATGTTCAAAAACATCAACATCTTACCATGTAAAATACCTCATCTGTACATACACTACACTGTCAACTCTTTTTTACTAGTAAGTGTATGCGTTTACATTTCCTTCCAAAATGATAGCAACATTTTAAAAAATTAAATTAAATTAAACAAAATTAAAGCAATTGCGCTTTAAAAATCATTAAACTATATAAATAAATAAAAAAATATATATATAAAAACAAAAAACAAAAGCATTAAACAAATTTACAGTTTCTCTGATTACCAAATGTGTTTTTAGTGGTATGGAATCATTTAATTAATTAATTATAGGTGGTTTCTTCTTGATTATTTTTAAATCAAAAATGTATATGATATGGTGGTATCTTGTTGGCTTATTTGTCCTGATCCGTGTCCTCCACTAGATGTCAGTCACACACTTTCAAAAACTCCAGCAAGATTTCTCCAACAACTCTTTCCTGCTGTCTTATCAAATTCATAACATGGTTTAGTTAAATTATTTCGGGTTGCAATGTAGGTAGGTCAACACATTGAAATTCATTCCAAACCTTTTCAAAAGATTATGTCCCATTTGGAAATAAACATTTAGGCAGTTTTAGGACCCATGTGCATTTTTTAAGGAAAACAGCTGGAGGTAAACTAATCTTTATCAAGTGATTGATTGAGCCAATATAGCAACTGATGCATTCTCAGCACCTTGTATCATTTATTGAAAAGGCCCAAATAGCTGTCTCTTTTAATTGAATCATTCAGTGGTGTCATAACATAAACCTGTGCTACTCTACATCAGTAGTAGTTTAATTGGACAGTACATACAGTAGCTCATTATTTGTCGATTCCTATTTGTGGCACTGATTTCAAACTGCAAACTCAAAAAGGTGCACACCTGCCATTTTGTGTTGTTTGTCATTCATCGCTTTCATTCACTTGCATAAATGAGGCATTGATCCAGTCTAATTAGCTTTAACTAATTACACTGATTTACATTAAGGCTGGCTGAACTATCATCCTGTTCACTCCCCCACATCACCCGGCCAACACCTCCTGACACCCATTTTCCACCCTGTGTAAAATGCGCTGGATCCACAGACTGCATCTGGAAGTCTTCAACTTCAACTTTTTTTTCACCTGGCACAGATTACAATGAACAGCTTATCAGAGGCAGCTGCTTTGGTCTCTATAGGCTCTGCAATCAGCATACATTTCATCAGGAGTGAGAGAGAAAGAGAGAGACTTTAGTACAGGAAAAAACACTTTCTAGTTCAGTGTCTTGTTGCTATACAATAACAGCACAGATGAGACGAGAGAAAGTTCTATTGTTGAGGTTAGATTAGTCAAGTTTTATAAATACATATAAATTATATATATAAATTATAAATTTAAAATCAGGTGTGGTAATAATAGATTAGTTCTGTAAAGTTGTTCAAAGTTTTGTTCTGTAATGCTGGTCCGGTACTTTGAAGGTTAAAATTCTATTCAAGTTATTGGTATTGTCAGCAAGGAGTAGTACAACCTGAAATCCTAATCAACATTGTAGAGTAGCAGAATATAATGTTTCAGCAACACAAGTGTGTCAGTTTTGAAAGAATAGTTTGACATTTTGGGAAATACGCTAATTTACTTCCTGGCAGTTCAACACAACTCTCATATCTGTCTGTAACATATAAGACTATAGCCTGCAGCGAGTTAGGTTAGCTTAACATAACAACTGGAAAAGGGGGGGAAAGATTAGCCTGGCTCATTAATTAACACATTATCTCATTGACGTGTGTTTAATGTGTGCAGAATCTTAAGTGTAAAAGCAATAATTTGCAGTTTTACAGGAGGTTACTTGCCACACTATATTTTGGTCTGAACTCCAGAAAGTAACTGCTTGCACCTACAAAATAGACAGGAACAGCTAACTGTCAGTGTTATGCTTTGGTTCATATGGGAATAAAAAAAAGATAAAACATGTTTGTGACATTTGTGCTGGTAGGTCAATTATATTACTTCTAGACAGTCTAGTTTCCTAAATTTCTACTCTTAGGTTAAGCTAAGCCAACCGGCTTCTTGCGGTAGCTTCATATTTAACATACAGAAGTATCAATCTTCTCATATACATCTCTTCCAGAAAGAGAATAAGCGTATTTCCCTAAATGTCAAACTTTTCCTTCATTACTCACATAAAAGAAGACCAACCACAACAATGTTTCATTTAAAGAAAAAAACATATACTGCAGTTTTAATTGGCTGGTAGTGTTTACATTATTAGGTTTATTCCAAATTTACATATATTTTCTGTGTAACAGCACAATGAAGAACAAACAAACAAATTGTTTACTTCTAAAGTAATTTGGAATATTGATAATTCCATACACCAACATTCAGACTACAAATAATTTTCATCACAAAAAATTCAGACTTTTACCAACATATTGCAAAGAAACAAAATGTTTAACAGAACAGAGAAGTCTCATTTAATACATTTCTTTTGAATGCTCAGCTTGAACTCTTATGCAACCTGGCAGCTCAAAAAGGGGATAATTACAGCTTGTCCATTTTCTGTAGCAGATTTGAGCAATTCAGTGGCTACGGGTTAATGATTCATGCAAGCTCCATGTCATTTAACTGCAATTTAATGTTCTGAAATGTTACTGAACAGCTTTACATGAGGAAAAAAAAGTCAAACTTGATTTATGTTCAAGGCATTGAAAAGCTGTCAGCCCACAGCAAGACTAATGAAAACATCACTGGTCTCAAGTTTTATATTGAAGGTTTAATTCTACCAACACACTAAGTACAGTGCATCCTTATATGGTCTGCAGTGCTTCTTATAAATCTCATCCAATTCTCTGAGATTTTCTCTCTTACCGCCATTCCTCTTAAAGCTTGCCCCCATTTTCAGATATGCATCTAGTTTATTATACCTGGCAAAACGTATTAATAAGGCCAAACCATTGGGACAACATAGAGAAAAATGTGCTGCTGCTGAATTTCCAAAGACCTGGGAAGCTGTGTCAGTACTGTGTTTATTACAGAGCTCGGCCCAGCAGAGGCCCATAAATAAGCTATGGACTGCTATGGAAATGTATAATGAAAATGAAACTATACCAACTCAACAAGCTGAGCTTAAATACTGTATGAGTTGGCAGTTTCAGGCTAAGAAAGTGATTACACATTCTGGCTCATATGAAGCACACATGAATAGACTTTAAATCTTTTTTAAAGGGCTATGATAATGTTCTTCAAGACATAAGTCTTGATGATAAGTTGAGGATCATCACAGTAGTGTCTTGTTGAAATGATGTATAGATATGTATACAGATATTATGCAATATATTAGAGCAGCAATGATTAGTATATTCATCAATTAGTCCATTAACAGATAGAAGAAGTCATATTTTTGGTAAAATTCTAACTTCTCCAATGAGAGAAGTGCTTTCCTCAATTTTATATAGCTGCCAAGTGAATGTCTTTGAGTTTTGGACCGTTGGTCGGACAAAACAAGACAATTAAAGAATGTGGCTCTGGGAAAATTTTAACGATTAATTACAAAATAATTTACACATTTTAATATCGACTCTTGGGAAACTAGCCTTTAGATATAAGAGCTCTAAATCACTGTATATAAGCAAACACATTTGAAAAAAGCAAATGTGAAATTCAAATATGATGATTTAGTCTGAAAACTACATATATTATGAGATTTTATCAGATGTGAAATGCGAGTTAAAAAAGGTATATTCAACTCATTCAAACTGTAAATTATCTCCAATATTGTAAGGCACCAAAGTCTGTTTAACTGAACACTGCAAATAACCCCACAGCTGTTGGACACATTTAATAGTATATGCCTTTGGGTGAGTATTAACCCAAGAGCCCCTTCTAGATGGCATATTGTAGCATATGGTCTACCAAAAATAAGAGGGAAAATGTAGATACCTAACATGACACCAAGTTTTCACTTTCTCATTATATAGACCCCCTCATCCCTTCCCATTTAATTAAGAGGAGGGTGTCATACAAGTTCTCTTTTAAATCCCTCTGCAGTTCAACTCTCCAGCCTCTTGTCAGACCTGACTGTGTAAAAACGAGACAGTTTGCTAACCCTGACCAATGAACATGCAAATGTTTATGGGCATATCAATTTAGCTTCCAGCCTTTCTGCACCCAATATTCTGCTTTTAATTACAAAGACTAATTAAAAGTACCTTGTAATGAAGTCTGTGTAGGTTCCCCCCAGGGTAGCATACTTTGTGTCATTGTG